GCTATAAAAATATAGTATTAACAAAATCAATGTTGTTTTAACCAAAAACATTCAAAGTTTGAATTTCAAACTGAACTGAAATTCTTTGGTTCTGGTTTGGCGACTGATCACTTATTCACTTAGATGTGTTCTTCTAAGTGTGTACCTTATTGGGTGACTGATTGAAGTACAAGCCTTTCATGTGTTGTTTCTCAAACATGAACCCCGTCGCAGGCTTGCCCTTGCCGTTTCCATAGATCAAGAACTGCGACTCTTTCATGAATCGTTCTGCAGAACCAAGCTGCAATGGAGAAAGTTTCCAGGGTGTGAGGGCAAACACAGAAACAAGGGATATTCACAACATGAGAAGAGACGAAATGAAGTCCGATTTTGTCATCGATTTTAAAATCCACAGGTTCTGCCGAAATAAGCATTACATAAGTATTAGTTACCTCATCAGCAAAGACATCAAAGGGTCTTTGTCCATCAGAAACCATAGTTGCACATATGAATATAGCTTTCGAGATTTTCTCTGGAAACCACTCTAACGCATATGAAACACATGCACCTCCGGTACTGTGGCCAACCAGAATTACCTGCAACAATCAACACTCATATTTTTAGAAATAAAAAATCAAGATGACACAAGAATTCACATGGAAATATAAACGTTCCACAGAATATTCTTTGAAGAATGCGGAGCAAACTCAAATGGAAAAAAACACCTAACCCCAATGCCTTTCTTCAGGTCTTGATTTAGCAAAACATGATTTTATAGCTGTCACATTCCTTCATGTGTCATGTGCCAGACAGCCTACGATAGTCGATAAATGCTGCCCGATACCATATTCATTCAAACCAAGACAAGGACAACTATTTTCTTATAAATGCTTTAAATGTAGTATAAGAAATTGACACATTCCTTCCAAGTTCCAACATAAACCTAACTATCCACACACAAGCAATTCCTAACCTTTTCTTCCTCGGGAAGATCTTTTAGGAGCTCGATCAATGGTTTTGAATATTCTTCTAAGGTGGAAACGCGATTTGCATCGGTCATATTAAATCCAGATGCAGCAAGGTCAACTGTAACAGGAGATAGTCCTGACTCTTCCAATGAAGCAATAGTTTTGTACCAACACCAAGCCCCAAAACCTTCACCATGAACCAGAATGAATTTCTTAACTGTCAAGCTCTCCAAAAAGTCAGGTCCCTAAAGAGATAAAAAGGTTACTACCATCAGTAAAATCAAACATAAAATGTGTTTTAACCTCTAGAGACCTGGTTTCTCATTACAAAGCAGTGACATTGATGTATTAGAGGGACCTATCAATCATGAAAAATCTTTCTATTCCTCCACTTCGTTCTAATCACAAGGAGCCAGACCCTCCTAGAATAATATCACAATTTTAAAACTTTCAAAAAGCAAAACCACTAGAGAACTCTTGAGAACAATCAGAGAAAGTAAAAGTTGTACAAAGATTCAAACTTGTTCCAGCTCTATTATTATACAAATATAGTTTCTTCTGGTCCCAACCTAATGTCAATATCAAATTTTAATCAAGAAACCATATAAGAATCTTCTCGACTCCACTTTTTTTCTTCTCCTTTGTATCTCAAAAAGGTTAACAACAATCATCAAAAAAGCACCACACTCACTCACTCCCAATCAAGAGCTCCTCTAGAGGTGTAAACAATCATTATTATAAAACACAGG